CTCCACAAAGCTTAAAGACGCATCCCTTTTTCCAGAAAAATGATCCCGCCACGCGATGTATTTGAATGCATTTACAGTTATGTCACGAAGTGCTTTGAAATACATTTCGCGACACTCCTGCATCGAATTTCGAGGGCGCCGAAATGCATTTCAATACAGGGTTTCGCTATATGAATAACCCCATTAATAAGCAGGGTATACAAATTTTTAAATGACGATTTCCGCATTACCGCGGGAAACGGTTTCATGATATATTAAGGCATCAGTGCAAAGTACGTCTGATCTTCTGATCATCTTAAAACACATTTAGTGTAGCCTAGAACTAAAGGAAAATTAGCAGACGTTCAAAAACCAACTGATGTCCCAGATTATTTGATACTTCTCACGCTGTTAACGTTTGATTTCCAAAACTGAAATACTTTCTTCTTCAGTAACCCTTTTCATTTTCGAACATTTTCCCCTACAGTAATCCTTTTAATCTTCTTTTTATATAAAACGCTAGAGGCGTCTGTCCGTCCCCGTGTCCGTCTGTCAACTTTTGAAAAACTGAGCAACTAGATTGAACCGCGCCGAAGGCGCACCAGCTTGCTGGTATTCAAATATGAAATTGCTGTAATCCTTTTTCTTTTCAACAATTTTCCCTCTACGAGAATGCAAATATTTTCTCCCACAGTATTTAATCTTTTTAATTATCAAAGCTCTTTCCCTATAGTAATCATTTTCGATTATTTTTCGCTACAGTAATCCTTTTAGAATAAAAACATCTCATTTATTCATACATAATAAGATCAGCATTAAATCAGAGGACACATTTACTGTATTGCTCAGTGAATTCTTTATGGAATGTCATTGTGTTCTCATCGAGCAATCCGCGTTTCTCGAAAAAGTTGAGCATAACTTGGTGGACGAACAAATACTGATGATCAGTCTGAAGACACAACTTGGGTTTTTATGGAATCTTGTGGACGATTACCTGGACAGAGTTATTGCGCTGTTCACGAATCTTCTGCAGTATCTTATCACTTTCTTCAATATTCTGCCCATTCAACAATTGATCCATCACATATTCAATCATCACCACGGATCCAGTACGTCCGATTCCAGCTGAGCAATGGACAACAATCGGACCCCTGAAATCATTCAGAGTGAAAATCTGTGTATCAGAAAGTATCCTACTTGGATACTCTCGCCTTCTCTAAAAGTTCCAGAATTGCGTTATCTGCAGTTGGAACACCACGATCAGGCCAATCAATCCAGTGATAATGAGTTATTTTCAACTTCTCGCATCCGGCTCCTTCGATTGTTAGAATCGTTTTTGTGACTTTTGCGTTGCTACTGTCTCGGAATTTGATCTGAAATGTCAGGATGTATTGTATCAGACCTCACTCTGCTAGAATTTACCGAACTGGATGACTCGAACTTCACTGTTACTTTCTGACTCTTCTCCTTGAACGTCATTGTATCCGGCTTTTCTTCAGTCGGCAAGTATTCAAAACACTTTTTTGCTCCCTTCTCAGTGTAGTTGCAGAGCATGAAAATTGTTTCAACACGATCCTGCAAGCACATGTACCAAAAGTCAGCACAAGTCTTCTCCAATGGCGCTTGAGTACAAATGAAACGTTTTGGATTGGTTGGAGTTGCCACGTAGTTGGCATGAATGTATTCATGAGGCCAGGAACCACCTAACTTCACTCGATTGTTGTCTAAACATCCAACATCTTTGTATCGATTCTTTCCATGCTTCTGGTTTTCTTTGAATGCTTTCATCTTCGAGAAATCATTGAATCTTTTCATTCCAGCAAACTCGGAACGTAGTCCTGATGGTCCCTTTTCCAGAGTTCTTGCCACAAATTTAACAATCTGAAAAAGAAAGAAACCATTTGAATAATTTTAAAATAGTTTCTCACCTGCTTCCGTTCGCGTTTTCTATCAGCAGTTGTCGGCTCGTCAAGTCCAGCAGTCTTTTGGCTTTGCTCTCGTTCACGGACTGTTTTGCTCCGACTTTTATTCTCTGAAAAATACAGTCAGATGTTAACTTAATTCAGATTTGATCTCACTTTTATTCGAAGACATTTTTGGTCGATCCTAATTGAATAAACCGCTCGCCGTGTAATCAAAATATGGGAATGGTTGCGTAGAACTGAAACGAAAAATTGGATTTTTTTGAAGCGCAGAGAGGGAACTGAAAAACTAAACCAGCACGACACCCTCTTGTTTGAATAGGATTCACGTCACTCCCTTTCTCAAAGTTTAACATCGAGATAGTATTTTTCCTAATTTACGTAAACTTCGACCTGAAAAATAAGATTCTCTGTCATATTCCATTCAAGTTGTAACTGATTTGAACAGCTGTTCTCATAGTTTTTTTTGGCTTTATCAGAAGATATGGGTTCTTTATTTATTTATTTATTTACGATTTCAAGAATCGTGAAAAAAAGAAAACATTAAAGTACATGATAAGCATATTTTATTTCTTTGAGTCTTTTAATCTGGGATCGTCTTTTTCGCGATTTTTCATTCACAATCTGTAATTTTTTGTAGCAGCATATATTCAAGTTATTGTTGTTCTGTACCTGAATCACTTTGCAATTTATTTCTATGGAGAAAAAAAAATTGAACCTGTAAAATAGGGTTCAACTTTACAAAACATCTAAGTGCACCGAACATAACAAGTGGCTAAAATACTCGAACCGTTTTCGGTGTGTTCCAATGTGCAATGGTGTTTATATGAACAGCGTTTTCCTACTGTATTTTGAAGAATCCAGTTTTCTAGGTCTTAGTTCACGAAGTATCTCCGCCCAATAAATGATTATTGAACTTGTTATGAATATGACCAGCTAAAGACATCAAAAACATTTATCTTTGAGCTGATAGGAATAGGAAATAAGAAGGATTACTGTAAGGAAACATATTTGAAAACCAAAAGAACTACTGTAGAGAAAATTATTTTTCTTCACAAATCGTTATCAAGTAAAGCAGTTAGAGCTGGGAAACTCTTTAAACGATTTCGTGATTTTGGTATGGGTTTATTGGAAGATTAAAATTGTAAGGAACCAGATACTTTATTGTAAAAAACAACGGCGTTATGTCTTCTTCTAGCAAAATGATTTTGCCTGGTCATTGTATTACTTTCTCCTATAATTATAGACAGGCATTGGGACGCATTGATTGTATTGATAATTTGGTGCGTATGGTGGACAATAACAATAGTACCGAGGTATTCGACCGAAATAATCCACAAAATGAGAAACTGAGAAAATTTTAATTATGAGAAAAGGTTCTGAAAATTGTTGTGACTTACCTCCACAGTAACCGCGATTGTAGTTTCCATAACCGTAATAGTTTGGATAATAAGAGTAATATGATCTTCTGAAAAGTCCTCCGAACAGAAGCCGTCCTAGCCCAAATCCTCCCCCGCCACCATAATAGCTTCTCGAATGGTAATGGGATCCTCCACCTCCCCAGTGGTATGCATGGTGATGGTGATGATGATGAGCTGCCTCACAAGAAAGCACTGCGACAAATATTGCTTTATGAATTTTTGAAACGAACTCACCAATAATGGAAGGAAACGCATTTTTCCAAAATACGGAAAACGGAAACGGAAAAAACGAGTGAAACGTTTTTTACGGAAAACGGAAACGGAATCGAAATTTTTCTGTCTGTTTTTCAGGGTTTTCCCATCAAACATGAAAATAAACTCTTTTTAACGTTTGAAGACCATATTTGCATTACTTTCCATGTTTTTTTTCGAGCCAGTTTCAATTCAATGTTTTTGTCTCTTTTTACATTTTTTTTTCGTTTCCGCTGAAAAAAATTGGCAATTTTTCCGGAAACGGAAACGGAAATCGAATTTCACTTTTACGGGAAACGGAAACGGAAACGGAATCGAAATTTTTTCCCACGGAAACGGAAACGGAAAATAATCTCTAAAAACCAGGCGGAAAACGGAAAACGGAAACGGAAATTCTTCCCATCACTGGAACTCACCAAGAATAGCTACAGCTGCTAAACCAAAAACTAAGACTAAGTTGTTCATGTTTTTTCCGGTATCCAAGCTTTTTGATCTACTTCTTACTACCCAAACTTTTATGTCTGTCTGTCTGCCTGTCTGTCTCGGACATTTGCTTGAATAACTCGAAGGGGCGCGGGACTCCTAAAGTGTTGTGGGGTATGAATATAAGAGAGATCAAATTTCAAAATTTTCACGTTTGAGAGAAAATAATCGAAAAAGAGAAATATTATGAGAATTAACACATTAAAAACAACGATTACAAAAAAGTTATTTTTAAATGGGAATTTTATTAGTTTCCCCAGAAAATGTAGCGTGAACATTTATTTTCATTAAATCTGTTTTTTTTTTTTTGAATCGTTCTGCAGAACGATTCTGTGAAGAACACAGTTTTGAATAGAAAAAAAGAATTTCAATTTTTTCTGCGCCAGCACAGTATTTTTCAAAAAACCGTTTTGAAACTCCAAACGTGAAAATTTTGAAATTTGATCCCTCTTATATTAAAACTGATACATCAAACTTATCCTGCATACGTTGGACTACATTGATACCATTGGTAATTTGGTGGGTAAGGAGGGCAATCACAATAGAAACGAGGCATTTGACCAACGTAATCAACAAACTGGGTTACTGAAAAAAAATAATAGGACGTTTTTGTTATTCTCCTTTTCAACTTACATCTGCAAAATCCACCACCGTAGTTTGGATATCCATTGTATCCACCACCGTATCCATTGTAATATCTACGCCTTCTCCAGCCAAACAGTCGGCTGAGTAATCCACCTCCACCATAGTATCTGAAAACACGAAATATGAGCTTGATTTTTTATGAGTTTTTTTTCAGATTTTCGTTCAAAAATTGCGACATCATTGACAGTGAACGAACGGTCCGTCACCAAGCCGTTAACCCGCATCCGTTCGCGGCTTTTCAGCCGGCAATTAACAGTTGTCCATCTGGACACACTTTTCCTGTGTAAAAAATCAGGGACGAAAAATCTCACCGTCCTCCTCCAAAACCAGTGAATGGTCGATATCCCCATCCATCTCCACCACCACCACCATTTCCATGATCATGGCCCCATCCACCGTGATGATGGTCGTGATGATCGTGATGATCGTGACCTCCATGGTCATGGCCTCCATGATCGTGTCCCCCATGATCATGTCCCCCATGATCCATGAGCACCGAACACTTCTGAAAAAGATCTCGCATTATTTTCGGTCCTACCATTAGTTTGAAAATTTTTCAAAACTGATCCAATAGATTTTCCATTCCAATGTTTTGAAACTTATAAAACTTACCTAGACAAACAAATAAAAGTAGGAACATCAAAATTTGGAGATTCATATTTGTTAAGGAACAACAAAGTCAAACAAATCAACTCAGAAGGAATGAGAAGAAGGGAAAACGGTTTTGATGGTTGATCTGTTAAACCATCAAGTGATTTGATTCGTTTCTTTTTGATTTTAATTGATTTCCCTTGTGAGAGAGAGAGAGAGAGAGGTCAAGAAAACAGTTTTCTTCTGTTTTGGTTCTTCTGGTTAGTTCCAAATCAGAAAGAAGATCAGTTATTTTCGGTAACTGGTGATATGACTTACTGAAACATGATGAGTGTTTAATTTTTGAATATTTTCCCCCTACAGTGATCCTTTCAATTTTAAAATTTTTTCCCCTACAGTAATCTTTTTAATTTTCAAAAATTTTCTCCTACAGTAGTCATTTTAATTTTGAAAGATTTTTCAACTACAGTAACCCTAATAGCTTCCAATTTTTCCTACAGTAATCCTTTTAATTTTCGAATATTTTCCCCTACAGTAATCCTTTCCTTTTTCAAATATTTTCCCCCACAGTAATCTCTTTAATTTTCAAATACTTCCCCTTACAGTAATTGAGGATCAAACTTTTAAACGTTGCAGGAAAAAATCACGCGTTGCAACACGTTGATTAAAACTAATTAGGTAAAATCCACGTCAAATTGGAAATTATTAAATTTCTTCTGGCCTAAAAATTATTTGGGGCTCGTTTTTTGACCCGTTGGCTTGGACCCAAGTGGCTAATCCTTTTCAATTTTGAATATGTTCTCTACAGTAATAATATTTTTTTTGTTTTCGATGTGTTTTTTTCTCATGGTTCTTTTTTTTTGTAGAGCTTCAATTAACACGAATATGTTTCCAGAAGAAAACTATCACATTTCCTCTTTTGGATTTCATCACCTCTATTATGAAATTGATAGTGATTTTGAAATCGCACGTTTCATCACTTCTGAAACTCCGGAAGACTAATTGCATGCATGTTCAAAGTATCAGTTTTTGATTGTTCATTTCCGACATCATGAATTTGAAAAAAACTACTTTATTCTGAATTTCAGGTGCTAAAAAAACAATTCAGGTGACAGGAAAAAAAACAATAAAACCAGGTAAAATGAAACACGAAGACATTAAATATCACAGTTAATAAATTACTAGTTTTCTTTTTTCTGTAAAGAGGTTATGATGAAAAATCGAAAAACGTTTTAAGGCAACCAAGGGGACTAAATGGCGAGGGGTACAGACAATTACAATTTTTGGCTTGAAGATTAAAAAGGCAAATCAACAGATATTAGGTCATTCTCAATTGATAATCTCCGTTTTGAGTGACATAACGAACCCATGGAAGAGCTTGATATCCAGATTTCTCTATGATTTTCAGATAACGGACCTGGAAAATATAGAGTTAAATTATAACTTATTAACAGATTTAACAGATGAATGAGAGTACCTGTAGACCGGAAGTTGTGTAATATGGAATTTCAAACTTCACGTTGATTGGTGGCCGACCTTCGACTTCTTCTGAACCGATGGAAGGAAGCATGAATGATGATCGCATGATGTATTCACGACCTCCTGAAAATATTTATTTTTGTCTTTTTAAAAATTGTTTAACACAAACCTGGAAAGCTTCTGATACTCCAAACAATGGCATTCAATTCCGGAACATATTTAGCAGTTCCTGCTCCAGTTTTAAATTTCGGAGCACTGACATCAGAAGGAACTGGGATGATGACTTCGACGTGGTTAGCCACAGATTGGCGTTTGAATTGAGATTTGGCCTTAACCATATACTCAACTCTTGAATGTGCATGTCTCTCCACTGCTGCTTCAACCCAAATCAATGGTTTCACTTGAGTAGTCAATCGATAACTCATCAATTCGAATTCACCATCAGGTGGAATGAATGAAATGGTCCTTTCGAATCGAAACGGGATAAACGGACACATTGATGGAACTTGATGTCTTCCAATTCAACACCTTTTCCTCCATTTCCGCGTCCTGAAAAAAGAATTGAATGCTAAAATAGCAATGCTTTAAAAATGATTCTTACTGGAACTGGCACCAGATTGTTGGAAGAACACCTTGTCATTGAGTCCCAAACGTAATTCTGGCATTCCAGATAGAACTACACGGAAGCGAATGGAACCAACGATTTCTGATCGGAGAACTGTTCCTTGAGCATTTGCCAACATATTGACACTTTCGATAACATCCAGAAATACTTCGTTTTTTCTATATTTGATTCCCTCCGATCTCCATGACACTGCATTTGTGACAGCCATTGGTGGACGAACGGACTCCAAACGATTACTTTGTTGGGTAATAAATCTGGAAAATTTCCGTTTAAAATGCATTGTTTGAAAATGTCCTCACTCTTGTAGAATTTTGCTTTCTGTTGTCTGTGGGTATCCAAAATCCAGCATCTCGTCAAAAAGTTCGTAAATGATTACAAAGTTGTCCCGAACAGCTTCTTCTTCCAAAGTCTTGAAGTACTCACAGAAGACTTCGACGATTTTGTATAAAGCAGAGAGTACCAATATCACATTTGTGTTCTTCTTTGAAACCGTTACCACTGAAAAGAACTACATAGTTGCATAAATATTCTAATAGAAGCCCAACCAAACCAACAGCTTTGGGCTCAATTATCTATGTTCCTGGGAAAGATATCAAAAACTTGTCAACTAATAAAATGTTTATCATAACATCACCAATATTGTATCAGTTGACCAATTATTGATATTTTTACAGGAACCGAGATAATTGCGCTCAAAGTAGACAGTTTGATTGGGCTTCTATTAGAAGAAATATTTCACTTCTTTTCAGATAAACAGTTACTCTAACCAAAAATCAGACAAATCATGATCATATTGTGACCTGGCAACTTACAATAAACATTCATATACTTGATATATGTGTAACTAATTCCTTGATGCACTAAAACTGGAGAAGCAGTTCCTTCGTCTTCTTTCTCGACCAGCAAAGGCATGAATTTCTCGATGCATGACATATCCACATCTCCACGATAGTTACGAGATATTACCACCTGAAGTTATACAATACCTATGTATCTTTCTTTTTTCTCCTTTTTTCTAGTCATTTTTCCTAAAACTTCTTTTTCTTCTTCTAACTCCTATCCTTGGCGTCTAATAAAATGCCAACTGTGTGAAGACATCACATTTGACGGCCTTCTGTCTATTTCAAAAAGCAACGAAGATTCTCGTTTTTAGTCTTCTTTGTGCTGCTACCAATAGATTTTTGTTTAGAAGTTATATTTGGGAAAAATATGCTTTCAAAAACTCACGTTCCCTTTGAGGTCCAAGATGAAGAGACCTGAAATCGACATGTCGATTTCCCCTGTTGTCTCTGTAAACGTCTTTGATAGAGATGTCTTTTGAAACGTGGCATTTGGTAAAAACGTGGGAAAAGGCAAACGTGAACGTCTTAAGAGATTACTGTAGCGGTTACTGTAGCCCAAACCTAATTGTTGAAAAGTGACTCAACAATCAGGAAAACTACTTAATTTGGAATAACAAATTAATCTGAATCTTCTTAGAATCTTCATAGAAATTCCCTGATCAGGGTTTCTATATAAGTGCCAAAAACGTATTTGCAGAATAATTGAATTTTACCCAAGTACCAAAATTTTTCTATTAACTAGAACTTGATGTTCATCCAACTGTTAAACCAGTTCACATGACTTGTTTTCATTATCATAAGTTTTGATTTGGATTAATCTTTTTATCGAGAAAGGCTGTAGAAAATTGGGTTAAAATATTCTGCTAAACTTCAGAAGACAATCCCAAACTATTATTAGAACATCAGGTTATACGTGGAAGGGGACATAGAGAGAGAGAGAGAGCTTCTGAAGAAGAAGAGGATCTAGGGAAACAGAGAAGCCAACTGATAGTAGAGAGAAAAATGGAATGGCTTGGAATTGGAAATGGAAAGGTGCGGGAGAGGAAGACAGGCAAAGAGAACAAATATTGTATTGTATGCAGTCACCGAAAGTGGCGCACCGTGTATAGGTGGACGCAAAACTATTCTCAATCTGTGTCTCTTCGTTTCGCATTCTGCTTTTCGGTTCCCCATTCTTTTCTGATCGTACTCTCTCTCTTTTCAATGCATATAATTTTTCGTCTCCGTAGCATGAGAATGCCCATCGCGATCAGAATAGTTATCGATTGATTTATGGTTCTAGATGAAATAATATATGAAAATTTTATGGAGCATCACAACGAGCATCTTCTGAAAACACAGACTGCACCATAACAACCTGTATTGGGAACGTCAGGATGAAATGAAGAGAAAAGCTTTCTTCTGTTAAACTGAGAAGACATTGAATACGTTAACTCTGCGTCTGCATAGAAACGAAGGGAAGAAGGTCCTTTGGTTGCTAGGCTTTCAGTTAAGCGGATTATTTCGGAGCAAGATGTGCATATTCTAATTGCGGGAGATTAGTCTGATATTCTGAAAACACATAATTATCTCAAATTTTCAGCTTCAACTCTTTTCTTCATATCTTTTCTTGCTTTATCATAGATTTTTGAAGGTGTTTTCTATCTTGATTCAAATCTGAAAGTTAAAGGAGCAAGGCACGCTTGTCGTTTCGGGCTTCGCAACGAACAAATTTTGCGCGCCAATTCGAAAATCCATGTTCGTCTTGCTTTTTTTGACGATTTCGCTTCTCTTTTTAACAATCTCATGTTTATTCAGATGAACAACTTAAAAATAAGTTTTCAGAATGGTACTAAATGACTCATTCTCCTCGCTCTTCTCATCGCCGTTAAGAAAAGCAAATGAAAGTTTCAATGAATCGTTCGGCGACAAGGTGGGAATCGTATAAATTTGAAACACTAAAATCTCAGTCTTTTCAGAACACTCTCTCACCCGCCACAGTTTTCCGATGCCTTCAAAAAGAGTATGATCAAATTTCCACGGTGTTACAATCTCATCCTCCTACATGTTCACAGTACCAAACTTCATTGAATGAGTAGGACTTTCCGTATTTTTCTTTTTGCTGTTCAAGAGACATTTTTTCAGACTGATTTCATTGTTTGAACGAGCTGAGGATCAGTCTATGTTTGGAGTGCAAAAACTGATTTTGTCTGTATTTTTAAAGCTCACTGGCAATATTCTCAGCGTTCTCGGAAAAGTACGCCACCTTGAAAAATAAGTCACTAAGCTTGCTCTTTTCAGCCGAAATATCAACCGACACTCTACAAACTAGCTCAGCTCATCGCTTCGTCAATTTCTCCTGACTTGGGAGCTGACAATGAAATTGAAGAGGAAAATATGCACAAATGGGCAGACCGAATTATTATTGGTGAACATTTAATTCAGTTTTGTGACAATCAGTATTCATTGCAGAATGCTCAATTCATTTGCTCGAATTTCCAAACTATAAGATGGATCTAGAATTCGTAAGTAAATATTTTTAGTGAATACCAAATGAAATACATTTTCCAGAACATTGATGAGATTGTCGATGAATTGGTTTTGGCTAGCGGAAAGTTCCAGTTTGTGAAATCCGCTGTTTTTGTGTAAGCCACTCAAGTTTTTACCTTCAACTTTAAAATGGTTCCAGCGCAGCTCGCGACATGGTTTCCGAAATGGATACAACTGTCGAAATCACTCCGGAATCTAGGTGCACACTAGGAAACCTTGCTGATGAGAATATCCTGCGTTTATTGTTGTGGCTGTTTCTTCGTCAGAAATCGACTTTGAAAAGCAATCTTCTTCCGTCACTGTTTCCAAACCTTCCGTTCACCTTGAAAGCTGAAGAATATGATAGAAGTGCAGAATGCTCATTGTTAGACTTGAAGGTTCGTTTTCTAGCTTCAAACAAAAACTTACATCCGAGTTTTCAGCTGTATCTAGTTTCTCTCTCCGTGGTATCCTCAACGACTACTGAATCTGGAATGACAATGAAATCGGCACCTACAATTGCTTCTCAACTGTCGTTGACCAAACATCAAAAAAATTGCTGGAAAGCCATAGTTGATGCATGTGCAGGGTATGCAAATTCAGTTAAAAAACTCAAATTATGCAATCGTCCGCAGTTCTTCCAGAAAAAAGGTCGCAGCAATTTCTCGTCTCCGCACTTCACAACTTGTCGAGTCGGTTCGTTTGATTTCCGATGGATCTGAAGACGTGAGAGTTCTTTTCGACGGCTGGAAATATTGTCTTCAACCTTCTGCAACATATGATGATGATGTTTATGAGGCTATTCAAGCTGTAACCGAGAAGTACAGAGCTAAAATGAATTCTCTTCTCGCATATGGGTTTGTTCGATTGATGGAAACTAGATGATCAGAAATCTGTATTTCAGTCCATTCTACACATCTGATCCTTCCTCTTTCTCCAAATCAGGTTCAGTGTGTCGTCGGGATATGAAAACTCTATTCCCACTCCAGTTCGATTATGAATTCGTCAACACCACAGAGGCAGAACACATCGGAACGGTCATCAACAGTCTGTAAGTCTGAACAACAAAAAGAAAAAAAATTACAAACTACTTTTCAGCGAAGGATACATGAGTCCACAACCTGAAAACGATGTCACTGAAGAAGAGGATGCGGAGGTTTTGTCAACCAAAGATTTCGAATCTGCGGGCGACGAAACATTCCACAGTGTCGGTTCAACGTCCGATCATTATTCGTCTGCAAACAACTCTCAGTTCTTCTCTCCGCTACAACATAATCGTGATTCTATGCTCCCATCTGCAGTCTCACAACTCATCAGAGAAGAATCACTTGCAAACACGTCTCATGTTTCCACAAAATCTCTGATTCTGACTCCAACTCGTGGTACTTCAGCTACACCAACACATGCGTCGCCTCATCCAAACATTTTTGACCTGTCCATAGAACGTAAGTGTTCCTTATAAAGCCAAAGTTTTTGTGTCCAAAAATAGGTTGAAATATTCGTTTCCTTTACATTCGGTTTTAGGACATCAGAATGTGTCGGTCACCGCACCAGAGAAAAGCGATTTGGACCATTCTGATGAAGAAGAGGACGAACTTGAAGCAGCATTGCTCGAATCAACTCAAAAACACGAAAAGTGTATCATAGCTCTAAAGACGCCAGAAAAGTCTGTCAACGTTGAAAAACTCACCCCAACTCCTACTAAAGATGCTCAAACTGCAACCGATGACGCTTTCATATCTTCTGGTGAAAGCAGCATTGTCACTGTTAAATATACTCCTAAAACGGAATCAACAACTACTCTAAACGCTGCCCCGCCCATTTTTATTTCCGATTCTGAAGAGTACGATGATGAAGAGTACTACGATGAGGATGAAGAGGAATATTACGACGAGAAAGAGGAAAACGACGAGAGTCTGACGGAAAAGGAAGCTTATTTGAGTGAATCTGAAATCGAAAGTTTGATGGAACAGATTCGTGAAGCTACACTTTTCATGTTTAGAGACAGAAGAATGAAAATGTTTGGACTCGAAAACCAAAAAGTGGGTTTCATAAATCCAGAAGCTTTACGGCATGATCATGATTACAGATACAGCTAGACAACACTAATGATGCCGAGATTCTGGAAGCTGCGACGAAGAAATTGGAAAAGTATTTGTTACTATATGTATCTGATTGTATTTTATCTGGTTTTCAGAATCTCCATGGACCTATCTGCGACGTCGGAGAGGCTCGATAAACTGAAAATACCTAATCGTTAGCTAACTTTGGGTTCTCCTCATAAAAAAGTATGTTTTAGTTACTACCATGTTCCCGAGTACTGCTGAACCATCTGTCCAAGTCTTACCAATTCCTTTGCCTAAAACTGCAACAGAAGCAACCACAGTCGATCACAATCCACAAAAATGTCTTGGATGTCAGGTAGGATTTCTGAACTATTTTTTCTCAATTTCTTCATCTCTTTATCAGTTTTCAGAGTGACGAGATACAAGAATCTGCACTTCGTCGTCTTGAACAAATGGCAAACGACTGGGATGCAGAGGGCAACGACTATTTGTTCAAGTGACTCGAATATTTTTAATTTTTAATTTCTATCGTTTTTTGTTATCTAGGTTATTTATCTATTGCTTCTCCCCTGTTCATTCCTTTCCTAAATGTGCCCTGTTGTATGAATTTTACTTCATCTCATTCGAATACGAAATCATGAAAATGCATTTTTACTGAATTTTCATAGACAAAACAAAACAACAACAAAAATAACAATTGGTATGAATGAAAATAATGAACAATAAACAGAATAACAGCAACGTGTCTAACAGTGAGTCTGCAAACACAGGTGACAATTTTATAATTTCGACAATAACCAGATAACAAAAAGTTTATGGATGTATTCAATGACGACCTCCGGAAGAGAAACGCTTCTTCTTCTTCGTCTTCTTCTCTAGCGGATTTTTTTCATCAGGAATCTGAGCTTGAATTGCAGTTCTGAAAAATATGTTTCAAAAAATTCAATCAGAAGAGGGGAAATCACCTTTTACTCTTGACACTGATAAGTTTGTTCGCATATTTCATATTGACTGACTCATATGCTTCAGCTAACTCTTTTTCGTCTTGAGTAATTTCGTATTTCTGCAATTCGGATCCCAACTCGGCTAACAGAGCTTTTCTATCCTTCTCATGACGAGCACGGATTTCTTTTGCAGCTTCATCGAGTTCATCTTCGAGGTTTGCCAGTGGCACTGCTTTTGGCAAACTAGAAACTGTTCTGTTGTTAGATGCAGCCTCCGATGTTTTATCGAGATTCTCTCTGAAAGTAAATTTTTATTTTTGAGTTGTAATAACTAAAAGGAAGTAGTTTTCGCTATTACCCACCTGACCGCAGTTTCACAGACTTCATCAAACCAGTCACCAATTCGTCGAATTGCTTTAGTGAGAAGAGCAAACACTTGATTCGCCGGAAGATCGAGCTCCTTGGACACGTCATCGAACTGTTTGCGTTGGAGACCACGAGCAAGCAAGATGGCAGATTGAGTTACAGCTAGTTTGAGCTGGAATGAAAAACATGAGTAATCTACGGAAAAAAGGTTTACTTACATCCTGTGGCAATCGCTGTTCAAAGTACAGTTTGGCAACAGTTGGCAAAATGTCTGTGATGATGTGAGAATCGACCATGTTACGTCCGTATTGGCTCATTCTTCGCAAGTCAGTGTTTGATAAATGAATCGCCAACTCGGATCTTTCAATAACATATCGTTTCATTTGTTTCTCGGCGCTCTTATTCTTCATTTGAAGTAGAGAAAGAGCCAATTGAGCTGAGAAAGTCGAGAAATCGTAGGAAAGCAAATTCACCAGCCGACGTCGAAACTCGCGCCAATAGACTGGCAGCCATGTTGCCATCGGCTCATCTGGAGAAAAAAGTATACACTGCTAAGCAATTGTGGAACTCCTACCATCGTTGTCAGTGCTTCCTGCCTCAAGCGCTTTGAGCATAATGCAGGTATGCTCACCGGTGATATCGTTAGAATTCTGTCGAATGTAAACTGGCACGAACTCACAACGCTTCCAAAATTTCAAAAGGGGAACAGTGAGACCGAATGATACTCCTAAGTAGTCTAACTTTTCCGGTTTTCGTTCATCAAGACGTTGAAGAAGTGGAGGTAGATCTGCTCTTGGCTCGATGCGTTCTTCGAGAAGTTCTACAGTATGACCATCCTTCACTTGCTTGATAGTAGTTTTCTTCTGGACACCATTCGCATGTTCATCTTCATCTAAAGATGCAGCTAGTCCCAGGTAATATTGCTCGATCAGTTGGACAGCACGGCTTCCGTATCCCATTGATTGATAATCTGGATGAACTGCAACTCGAACGATTCTACCACCACAGAGAGTTCCGAACTGTTTATCCATGAATTGTTGCGAGATCGTCCATGGAATAAGATCTCCAGCAGCTCGTTTCCCACTTTCCAACCCATTTTCAACTTTATCTGAATCCAAACGACCTTCAAGACACAATTGAACCACTGCCAAAACTTCTGGAATTGTTTTTCGAGATTTGTCGATTGGAGCCATCAGAACAAACAAATTGTGAGCTGGAGCATCAGAAAGCATCTGAAAAGAAACATTAGAAAATACGAACAACTCTAACACTTTCGAACCTGTAAATCATTCGGGCTGTTTTTGTAATGAGCAGAAACAAAGATCGCCATCACTTGTTGAAGGAAACTCTCAGATGCATCATGAAAGGAGAACAGAGTGTCTCGGTTGACAATGTAAAGTTCGCAATCAGCTGGTGGAGGCGTTCCACATTCGAGTTTCAGTTGACAACTTGTGGCATCGAGGCAGAGGAGACGGTTTAACCATTTTTCAATCTGCATAAAACAAATTACAATTTTTTTCAGTTTTCTTAAGAACATTAAACTCTCACCTTATCTCCTGGCTTATAACGAATGCTCTCCTCCATGTGCATCTCGTGAAGAGTTCTTCCTTTGCTGGATGCCACTTTTCCTTCTTTGGCTTCTCCTCCAGCTGATTGTTGTCTCAGCTGCTGCAACAGTTTCAGTGACAACGAACGACCAGTTCCTTCGTAACCATTTATAGTTGATGCCAAAAACGAAACGTATGGGCCTGAAAAACTTCCATTAAAGCGAGGTGTAGGCCGAATACTCACCAGAAATGAGTTCCTTAACAAGAAGAAGGGGAATGGCAGCGGCTTCATCAATCACGATCAACTCACATTGTCCAAGTTTTTCGACATCTGTTGGACTGATATACTGAAAAATATCGGTGTTACAATTAAGAAAGAATATGATATGAACCTGAATTGTTTGCTTATGCTCCCGAAACACTTGAACTCGAACTAGACAATTTTTGAACTCTGGATTAGCCGATTGGATGAGCTCGTAATCAGTATGCTCTTGGTAGTCGAGAGCATCAAGTCCTTTGACGACGAATTCGAACAATGTCTTCAAATTTTCCGGTGTTGGAGATGTCACGAAAATGTTGGTGTAGCCAAATGCAACAGCTCCGGCTAGAGATAAACCGACAGCCGCTGATTTACCACGTCCACGGCCAGCGGTGAGAGAACATGTAACATTTGACTGTTTTTCAGTGATGACATCAAGGAAACGGAGAAGAGCTTTGGCTTGGCATGCTGTACGAGCACGAGAAAGCAACGGACCAATTGGTTTTGTGGCCTTCATTGCTTCTTTGAGACTTGCAAGCTCGGCATCAGATTCACTTTGGATTTTCTGCAAAGAACTTCTAGTAAAAACTTCTGAACAGGCTGAACCTACCTTTTGAGACGCAGAAACGGCTTCAACATTCTCAATATGACTTGAAATCGGCAAAACTTTTAATTGATCGTCAAGAACAAGAATCGATGAGCATGATGCCAATGAAAGAATGAATCGCTCATTGAAACGTGCTGTGATTTCATTGTGAGCTTCAGTACGATATCGATTATGAACATCCATTGAGATCGTGTAAAGCTGGCGAAGAGATCGAACTGATTGCATCAAGAGAATAACCATTCCACCTCCCTCAATAGTTTCGATAGTTCTAGCAAGAAGATTCGGTGTCATTGCTTCGAAGTCCTGAAGAAACAATTCATATTATCTGATAAGACGAAATATTCCTTACTTGTAAAACGAGAACTCCGAATGTGTTTCCCAGGATTTTTTCGGTTTCGTTGTAATAACAATATCTGATTTGAGTTGATGAAATGAACACATCAAAAGGATCAGCATCTGGAAGACTGCCAGAAATTGTAGTCGTTGCCTTTTTAATCTTCTTGGCCTTCTTTTGACGATGAGTTGAGAATGATAACTCTTTTTTGTAGCACCAGAGAACGTTTGGGCGGGCAGAAACAGTTGATTTTGATAGAATATGATAAAGAATTGGCACTTGATCTCTAGCTTTATCTCCAACTAGTGCGAACATAGAGCGGTGCCCGGTGGCGACGCCATTCTCGATTTGAGTACGAATACGGCCATCAAGTTTGGTCCGCATTTTGCAGTCCTAAATAATTAAATTAAATAACTTTATTCGAAAAAAAAATATCTGAAGAAGTTGTAAATTGAATGCAGACAACAAAAAGGTTTTAAAAATAACAATTTTTAAACGACTTCTGCGCCAACGATCGGGTTGTGCGCCATCTGAGGGGTTGGCGTCTTTCTCGTGTTTCGGTCGGCCACCTTCGAAAGGATTACGGTGATGGCATATGAGGAGTGCCTAAACTGGTATTAAAAAGAAAAGAAATATGAAAAGATTAAACAGTTTGGGGAAAATATAAAAAGTATAATCCAATATGCGAAAAGTTGTTTCAACCTTCAATTCTTCACAATTTCCTTATGATCTATACCATATAGCACTAGGCTAAACTCTACCGTGATGCCTTCAGTCAACATTTCACTATTATCATTGTCAACAAATGTCACTGATAACGAGAGCCAACGAGGTACTTAATAACTCAAATTACTGTTATAACAGCAGAGTTTGGTGAACAACAAAAACTGCAATACCTACTTCTCCTATTTTTCAGATCCAGTTATTAACACCACTATGTTTGGATTGCTTTATTGGGTTTTAGGCCTAACTGTTCTAGAAGCTCTCCTATGTTTTGGTGTAATATTCGCTTTTTTTTTGCTAATTCGATATTGCCTAGAAACTGTTTCAATAGACAATCTTTCAAAGAGAGCAGTTTTTATCACTGGATGTGACACTGGTAATTTTCAATATTCGAATCATTTGAACAACTTTTCGAAACTAAGGGTTTGGTCGTGGATTAGCTCTGAATGTCTAGAACATGGGATGCCAGTTTTCGCAGGATGTTTAACTAAACAGGTAGTCAAAATCATTTTGGTTTTTAATGTTTGGAATCACTTGGCTCTAAAATAAAATTTCTGCAACGTTCTCATTTTGAATTCAAACACTGCCAAACTTCTCAACGAGTGTAGTGAAAAATCAGATACAATACAAAGTACTAAACTGGAAGAACCATATACTTTAAAACATGTAATAGAGGGGCTATTAACGTTTTGAAACGTTTTGAATACGATTTTCCGGAATTTCGAAAATTGTATGAATTTCTGAAATTCGTATTTTTTTTTAATTTCAGAACTTCAGAATTCCACAACTTCCTGAACTTTCGAAGTTTTTGTGATTTTCAGAAATTCTGAATTTCTGGGATATTTTAATTTTCTGGTATTTTTGAATCTCAGTTTGAAAGATTTTCAGATTTTGAGAGCCTTTTCGCAAATAATTTGAAGATTTGACATACGAACAAAACAGCGCGTTTCCCAAAAAATTCTACATTTTCTAGAACTACAGTAATCCAGCCGAAAATTATCCTTCCAAACACAGAGAAATTCTCTCGGAACCCACCAATCTTTTTTGTCTTTATTAAAAATAAAATTCTAGGAATCACATGCTCTCAAATTGTCAAGTTGGAGCTGCTTTTTCTTGGATCCTATTCAAGATATCAAAAATGTGTCAACTAAAAAATTTTTAATGATATTATGATAAACTTTGTATTAGTTGGCAACTCTGCATATCTTTTACAGTAACTGATAGCGAGATGAATACCGTAAACACTCTAGTAGAAAGCCACCAAAACTGACAAATATTTATCATAAAATCAGCAAAATTTCATCAGTTAGCCACTTTTTGATATCTTTCACAGAAATCGAGATATGTTGGCTTCAAGTTGTGTGGCCTTCTATTAGAGCGTTGACGGTAGGCTCAAATTTGAAAGTTAGGAGCCCTTCTTTTACAGGTTCTACGGTATTAGAGTCAACCTTCTTAAAATTTCCCGTTTTCAAACTTTCACCACCACGACACAAAGACCCACCAGTCCCCCCGTATCACATAAAATTGGGGATTGCCCATTTCAGGGAATCGAGAGTCTTAGTGCGGAGGCTCGAAAATCTATCGGAAACGGGCGGTCTCTCGACGCGTTTTTGATGGACGTGACAAGTGACGAGTCGGTTGAGAAAACGGCCAAACGACTTGAGGAGAAATGTGAAAAGTTTGGAGGTATGGGAAAAAAGGAAGAGAGAAGATATCTGAGAACGCATATTCCTAAATGAATAATTTCCAGGTCTCCATGCAGTGGTGAATAACGCAGGAATCACGGGAAAACATATTGCAGATGACTTTTTAGACATGAGAGAATATCTGAAAGTAGTTGAAATCAATTTATGGGGTCCGGTGAGAACGACGATGGCGGTCAAAAAACTTTTGAAGAAAGCTAGGTATCATTAATTTTCACTTTGTTCTATATATCTGAACTGATTCAGAGGTCGTGTGGTCCAGGTTGCTAGTATTTGTGCACGTGTGGGTCTTCCCGGTCTTGGGCCATATACAGTATCTAAATATGGTGTTTCTGCTTATTGTGATGTGATAAGACAAGAGCTCCGAGCTTTTGGGATATCAGTACATATTCTGGAACCAGGTTTCTTTGATACACCATTGATCAACAGACAGAAAATAGATGTGAGATTTGTTTCTCCAAACTAAGTCGACCAATAATTTTGTTCAAGGCAGAAATTTCGGAAGCTTGGGAGCAAGCCCCGTCAGATGTGAAAGCGCAATACGGGGAGAAATTCTTTAATGATGGTAAGGATTTCGTTATCATGCGTAAAACCCTCCTTTTTGAAAAACAGCTCGCCAGTCAACACAAATGTTCTTGAATTCAATTGCTTCTTCTCAAATCTCACTTGTGGTTGATGCTTATTTTCATGCAATCACTGCCAAATATCCGAGATCTCGATACCAAATAGGATGGGACAGTATTCTTTTGTATGTTTAATCAACTATCCCTTCTCCACGAAGATCACCCTGATCTTCAGGTTCATTCCGTTCTCCTATCTTCCAACAGGACTACAAGATTACATTTTCGCTGCCGCAGGTCTCTTCCTACCAAAACCGGCTTGCCACTGATGTCGAGAATGATGGGAGAATCAAAATCAGAATATAAATGTATTCCACATTTTTTTCTTTCTCTACATGTGCTTTTGTCATGGAAAATTCAACTGAACATCTTGCATTGTAACTTGAAAAAACTCTTTATAAAAATTTCTTTCAATATCTATTTATCTTTTTTTTTGATAAACAAGTATTTATCTTCTGTGTTTCAACGGAAAGAACTAAATAGTTCTTGTAATTATGATAAATGTACTCTTTGAAAACCTGGGAACTTACTAACTCTTCCACATCTATTGGAAGAATTTATCTCCTGGTCCAAAGTTCAAAATAATATTCATTGTTTCTCAATGATGAATGTTTCATGAATTGACCGATTCTTTGGTGATAGTTGCAACTTCCCACCAACTTCTTCCTTCTTTTTTCCTCTCTCGAAATGCTAGTGCGAGGACGCTTCCTTTCTATATCGATCTAGTTTTGGTGATGTCGGCGCATTGAGAAAAAGAGGGAAAACGAAGGAAAAAAGACGAAAAGAGCGAAGAGAGGGGGAGCTGTGGAGCTCTCTCTCTGTGCTCTTTTCCCAGCAACCCATTCCCACTACTTCTTTTTTTTCTTTTTTCCACAAAGCCTTCTTCTGGACATTTTCCCTTTCTTGGTGTTTCCACTCTCTGCTTTTATGGCTAAGCCCCAGTCTAAATGTTGTCTGATGGTGAAATGATATGGACACTTACTGAAGCTGTTTCACTAACTTTTCAATGCATCAGAACGGAGAACGCATTTTGCTCAATGAAGAAAAGGTATCGCTTACTCTCTTTTCTTTTCTTGCTCTTTATTTAATTTTTAATATATTCTTCTCTAAATTGGATCTTTCATCATTCAATGATAAATATGAAGAATTTCCAAAATTTAGTAAAAACAGCTGCTAAACAACGCGCAGTGCGTTATTTCGGAGCGTTGTAAAAAATTAATTTCCCAGTTTAATCTCAATTTCACCCAATTTTGAAATGTTTTCAAACGATTTTCTATTTCCCCATAAAAGCCTTTTCACCAACTTCAATGGTTCTTTATTATAAGAACTGTCTAGTCTTCAGTATAACGAGACATAATGAGAAATCTATAGGCGCAGACGGTGCGAAAATACATCATCAACATCTGCCCCGTTTCTTCATCACCTCTACCGCCCGTCGTTTTCCTCATGAAATTCTGTCTTTTCTCTCAGTTTGGAAAAATTGAATAGATGATAGTATTCAAAGAATGAGGAGAACGCAAAGAAACAAAGAAAAGAGCAAAAACAATAAAGCTCCCTCTGCTCTCCTCACCTTTTCTCTTGTTCTTATTTCCAAGTTTTCCTTATTCTTTCTCCCGCTCTTCTTCTTCTTCATATTTGATTTGTTTTTATAATATCAAAGTTTTTTTTTTCAGTTCATGACAGCCAGGTCTTCGACAATCGTCTTTACACGAACTGGTGATGCCGACGAAGGTAAAAATTAATTATTAAATGTATTGGAGATGAATAACTGTAATTATTTCAGAAGGAAAACCGCCCGAGGAAAATGGAGAAAATGGTGAAAAAGTAAGATAGCTTTGATAATTTTTTCTTAAAACCAAAATGTTCTTAATTCAAGGTGGAAGCACCGATTCTCCGACCGGACAATGAAGCGAGAGATATACCGTTGAACTCAACTTCCGCAGGTGGTAATTTAACATCACGAGAGCCTCAGAATACAAAAGAAAAACTTGGACATCGGCGAATTGATGAGCAAGGAGGGGTTTCATACAAAAAAGTGCCCACAAATGCGCTTATGCAAGCTATTCAGTTAGGAATTTCGAACTCAATAGGTAATTTTGATAATTTCACATTAAAAAATATTGATTTTGCTTCAGGAAGTCTTGCGTCTTTACCCAATCGAGATGTCCTTCTACAGGATTTTGAAAAAGTTGATATTGTTGCGTTTCCGGCGTAAGTTAGCATCAGTTTCGACCCATAATGGCTCGACCACAAATGAATCAATTTTTAGTGCTGGTTCGACAATCACTCCGTCTCACTCCTTCGGTGACTTCAGATTCCGAACATATGCTCCAATTGCTTTTCGATATTTTCGAAATCTTTTCCACATTAAACCTGCTGATTTTTTAGTAAGTGTTCTTTATCACCGATGTAACGAATAAAGCTTTTTTCAGCGATCAATTTGCACCGAACCATTGAAAGAATTATCAAACGCTGGAGCTTCAGGATCAATATTCTATGTGTCACAAGATGATCAGTTTATCATAAAAACGGTGCAACATAAAGAAGCTGATTTTTTGCAAAAACTACTTCCCGGTTACTACATGGTATGTTTTGCAACAATTAAAGAAATTATATGAAATTTCTTGCAGAATCTAAATCAGAATCCACGAACTCTTCTACCTAAATTCTTCGGATTATTCTGCTATCAGGTAATTAAAACTAAATTTATTAATTTAAAAAACTATTTCTTTCAGAGTCTCGGAAAGAATATTCGACTATTAGTAATGAACAATTTGTTGCCTCAAACTGTCACAATGCATGAGAAATACGACTTGAAAGGATCAACATACAAACGAATGGCTAACAAAGCGGAGCGGTCGAAAGCTCACCCGACGCTGAAAGATTTGGACTTTCTCGAAAATCACAAAGATGGAATTTTCATTGATCCCATTGCTTTAGATGCGTTGATGCGATCGATTAGTAGGGACTGTTTGGTGAGTTTGTTGGAATTATAAAGTGTTGAAAACTCAAGTTTCCAGGTGATGGAGAGTTTCAAAATTATGGATTATTCGCTGCTTGTTGGAATTCATAACGTTGAATTAGGAATTAAAGAAAGGGCAGAACAGAACGGAGAGGTCGCACCAGCTCCATCAACATCAACTGATCAGTTTTCTGGAGAAAAAACAGAAAGCCATAAAGTGCTCCAAGAGAAATTCAGCGTCTGGGACACAGGAGATGGGGATATTCCTCATGGCGGAGTGCCTGCTAGAAACTCAAACGGTGATAGACTGGTTCTTTATTTAGGTAAAAACAGAATGAAGAAACCAAGCAATTGTAAACGAAATTCATATTTTCAGGTATCATTGATATTCTTCAAAATTATCGGCTGCTAAAGAAAATGGAGCACACATGGAAAGCGATTCTTCATGATGGAGTGAGTCTATAATTGAAATAGAAGAAGACCATATCGAAATGTTTCAGGACACTATCTCGGTGCACAATCCAAATTTCTACGCATCTCGGTTTTTGAGTTTTATGACTGAAAAAGTTTTCAAGAAGGGCACAGGTATGTTTTTTAAAATCAAAACGTCGTGTAGACAATTGTCAAACTTTCTTTTCTTTTTTCCATCCATCTCTCTCTCTCTTTCTCTTTCAGCTATATTTCCTCTATCATCCTTTAGTTTTCAATGACCAGCACCCAAAATCGAACTTCCCTATCACTTTCCACTTCTTCTATCCTTAATTTCAACGACTGGGGAATATTATTCAGTTTTTGGCCTATCAAAAAATGTATCTGAAATAACTACAGTGAAATTTATGCAGTTGTAGAGTATGAGCTAAGCAAAAGATAAACAAATTAAACAAAATTTATTTTTCCTTTTTTCTCGTTTGTGATGACTGCTTTGTACAGTTTGTACACTCGTGAAGAAATTTTTGCGTTATGTCCGTTTCTGATGTGATTCGAAAACATTTGTAATTCGAATAAAGTCTGTTATTAGTTGAAAGAATAAAAATCCTTTGAAAAAAAACTATTAAAGGCACTAATTAAAATTTCTAGGTCTATTTAGAGACTAGATTCCAGTTAAATGATCGTGTCAGAAATGTTTTCTACTAAAAACTTCTACTCTTTTTCTTCTTTTCTCATCTGATTCCTACCTTTAACCTTCTATTATGGCGATTTGAAAAAAAAAACGAAACTAATATTATAACAACTTCTTCCCTCTATTACTCCTCATTATCTCTCTCCCAATTAACGATTACAGCCGACGAAAAGAGAAGCGCGAAATTTCGCACTCTGGTCCACAGTTATCTCGGTGATTTTTTTAAACAACTTATTTTATTTATTATATCAATGGAATTATGTTTCGTCGCGTCCTTTTTACAATTGTATTTTGAGTATCTCCAGTTAATTTCTAATCTGGTTTCTGTTATATTTAACAATCGTAGTTTCTGGATGTATCCTAGTTTTCGTCTCACAAGTTTAACACATAACCTAATCATTTTTGAAGGTCTTTAAACAGTCTCAAAATTAAAAAAAATCAACATTTAATTGATATGGTCCGAATTGTACCCGTAGTTCGTGTTTGGTTCTTGTCTTGGATGTAATTTCATGTAACTAATCTTCTATCAACTGTGGTTGGTCCTCCCCTAATCAGCTGCCTGCCCTATCCTGTTTTGCTATTCTGTTATATTTCATTACAAATTTCCTTTTTCTTTTCTTTCATTCTGGCATGCCCCACAGAAACGTGAAAAAAATTCAATGACAATATTAAATGACATCCTGTCAAAAAAAAAAAAAAATTTGACCTATATTCAATTTTTTATCAGTTTAGCGAAATTCGGTTGCACAAATTTTACAATTAGTGATATAAAGCAGGTCCTTCTTCAAATTACGGCTCGGTTTTATACATAAAATGAGAATGTCACCAGAAGCTTGGAATATTATAAATAGGAGACCCGAAGCTTTTGGCGCGAATTGTAAAAACTTGCACATTTCAATATTTTCACCAAAAAATGTGTTTCAGTTAGCTGGAGCCTTCTTTGTGCCCACTTCTGATTCTATTCTTCTTGTGATTCAATTTTTTGTATTTTAGCTCTTAAACAATCTCCATCGCGGCGACGGATGGTGAAAGGAAGCAGTTACGAAGATGAACAAACAGTAGTAGTCAACAGTGCACATCGTCCACATCGAGAATCCGAGCGGGACGGTTTGAATATGACAGTTACGGTACCCGATGGAGCCAGTAGTACCACTCCACGTGATTCGGCTCTTTTCGGGTCTCAAACGGCGAGAGAATCTACTAGGCTATATAATAGGGAAACGCCTGGCATGAGTGAAGATCGCGGTACGTTATTCGTTCTCTTATTTATTATATGTATTCCCTTTTTGTGAATTTCAGCCAATTCGGCACGAGATCCTTCATCTTCAATGTCCCGTGTACCGCTTCGAAGGTCTTATCGAGACGCAGGACAGACAATGAGCATAGAAAAGAAAGAAAAGAAGGTATTGAATCCGAACATATTACCTTTATTCATTAAAAATGGAATAATTACAGGTGGAACGACTGTTCGCTCAACCGAAGCCAACTGATGAGAAATTGGCAGAAGAGCAGGATGAAATAGAAGAAATAGTGAGTGGTGACGCGACTACGGCGTGAAGAGACACACCTTCTTCATCTTCTACTTCCGTTCTTTCAATCTTTCCATTTAGGTATTCTTTCTCAACGAATAACCTCTATGTCTTTAAGTGTAACAAACTGCGCCTTGTATGCTTGATGTGTACGTGTCTAGTATCGCTTCAAATAGTGTTTATAGTTAGTAAGAAGAAAAACAATTCAATAACAAGAAAGATAATGCAACATTATCAAATTCCGATATAACTAATCGTTTCATAAAAGTCCTAATCCTGTAGAGTGTGTCTAATTGTCTTTGCTTCTCACTTTCGTGTGTCTCTCGTCTCTAACCATCTGCATGATAAATCTGATTCTTAACTTTTTCAATTTTCAGACTCGATTATAGTTCTACAACAACTGTATTTCAATTCCCTAGTCGTCTATTTGTCATTTCTCATCCGAAGTCAACTCCTTCTACAATTTGCTACACCTGCCAAAATTTCTCTTCTTTTTTCTATTGTGAATTTTAAAATTTTACCGCTTCCACACACACAATTTGGCTTTAGTTTCCATTTCCCAAAATCTGGATGTGCTCCCAAATAAGAACTTCTTTCCCCCCTCTGAATGTGATTTTGCTCTCTCGCGCGCTTACTTTAGTACTTTAATTGTTTTTTCTCTTTCCCCTATTGAATTCCATTGTTTCAAAAAAAAAAATCCGAAAAATGTGCTGAAAACTAATGTAGCTAATTTTATTTTTTCAACTTAATGTATTACTATATATTGTATCCTAAGTTTAAACAAAATTTTCCAATTCGGCTTTTGATTTAAAATCAAACAAAAAGGCAAAAAAAAACTATATAAAAGGAAAAGAAAAACAGCTTCATCTCGTTGAAATTCGGGTCGATTGACCATTGCCTATTTTTAAATTATCTAAAAAAAGTGAGAGGGGTTCTTATTGAATGTTTTGTGTTTACAGATGGTCCAAGAAAAAGAACCAAATAACACACAGTTTCTATCACTATGGAAAAACTCTGAAAATATATCAAAGTTGGAGTCACATGCAGTGAATAGAGGATTAGTCACAGCTGCGAGGTACCTTCATGATTTTCAGGTTTTTGTGATCACAGTTGCATACTCTGTCATTTTCAGAGATGCTCCGAACGATTCATCGAGTCGTTCTACACTCTGGCAGAACCTCTCCTCAATGTCTTCCGCCGATCAAGCTCATCTGATGAGTCGACTCTCATCAACGTGGCCGTTCCAGCAAGAACGCAGAGCTCTCACTTGGCCCGTTCATGCAGGCTTATTAGCGAACTGTGTCACCTCCTCTTTAATTGGTGAGTCTTCAGTTAAATAATAACATTTTTATGAAAAGTGAGTTTCAGCAACACGAATCAACTCAGAAATGTTCTTGTATGATGCAAAGGCAAAGTTCTTCGATTCAATTAGGAAATGTCCAAAATCGCCTTTTGTGTTTGGAGTGTATTCTTCTGGCGTCACTTATTTCATGCTCTATCAGGTACTTAAGAAAAAAAAATCAAGTTTTCCCAATTCAATTCCGAGTTTACAGATTATTGTTACTCCAAAAGTGTTTAATGAACTGACGCCCTGTCCTTCATGCCTCATCATCAACAGTTTAGCAATTGGCTTGGCTACGGGAATCGCACTACCAATGTTGGCTACTCCCTACTTGGCTCACTACGTTCTGATAAACAGGGAATCAGCAGTTGGAAAGGCTAAGTCACTGCCAGTAGTTAACAATCTATTAGAATTCCTGACACTAGGTTGGGAAGGTGGGTCATTGGTTTCTTTATGTGCAAAGTCAAAACGATATTTCAGGATCTAAACCAGCCCGCTCTGTAATGGCGACGTGCGCTGCGATTCAGATGCTTGCTAGTTTTGGAGCAATGTATACGATGCTTTGGGGTCGAGAGCGCATGTTCAGTACTCTCGAACTAGATTCCGATTTGGCTCGCCGGTTAGTCGCGGAAGCACAAACCTCTACATCGCTGAAACAAAAGATCCTCGACTTCTTGCGACGTATCCCACTCATCAATGGAGCTATTCCGGAATCACCAGAGAATGAGCGTGTTATATGATTCATATCGACAGAATAGAACAATCTTCCATTTAGCTTTAGTTATTCTTGTTTCTTTGTTTTTGTTTGAATTTCATGAGAATAAAATGTTTCAAGACTGTTCGGAAAGTACAAGAGAAATCATATAAACTAGCGAAAAACAACTGAAAAATCTTGTGTCTAATTTTTTCGGCACAGATTTCTTGAATTCACATTCAAAAATGGTTAATCGCACTACCAGGAAATGGTTGTTTATTCACAGCAAAATTAGGACAGCCATTTTCGAAGAAAGATGCAATTTAGAACCAGGCTATAAGCTAAAACAATGAGCCAGCACGATTCGATTGTGAAGAACTACTTGATGAAGACGAATCGGACCGATTTTTGAGTCCCAGCAGATCCTGAATGAACTTTATAGTTTTGTAACAAAAATCACAACTCACGAAATCGAGATCTTCATTATCAGTGATGGATCCTGCTACAGACGGACTTGAAGATGTAGGGGTGTTCCTCAAAAAGAAGTCATCTTCATATTCGTCATCATCAACTTGCAGGACTGTATTCGCCATTTCCAATTCTATCGATTTGATTCTGAAATATTTTGGTGATAGCACGGAGTAACAAACAATTATGTTTGTAGGTACGTTGCTACCATCTGTGATATGTCAACAAAGAGATAACAAAACGCTGATTTCGAATGCTAGTGAAACTCACAAGTCTTTAAGTTTTTCGTTCTCGAGTAACGTCTCGTCTATCTTTTTCTGATTTTTTTCCTCAAATGATGCCAACTTCGATAGCTGTCCCATAAACTCCTGTGCCTTTCCTTCGATTTTGGCGATTTGTTCTTTTCGAATTGCCGACTAAACTTGAAATTGTTAGGAAAAATTTTACACAATCCTCGTTGCCTTTCTGTTTTCCATTTTCATCTGTAGTACTTCTGATACTTCTGGAATTCGATGGCTTTGTTCAGTCGTTTTTGAATTTCAGCACTCATTGCTCCTATGTCCGAGAAAACTCTCTTCACATTTCTCGGCAAGCTTTTATCCATTTTCAGCATTTTAGCCGGTATTTTGCATAGGTCGCAAAAGTCTGAATTCGGTGTCGCACGACAAGCTTCGCAGTAGACATGTGAGCAGGCCGTAATGAAAAAGTTTCTTTTACTGGGCGGACACCCACAATTGTTGCACACAACAAAATCCATACCGATCACTTGAAGCTTGATAACAAAAAAAAAGAAATTCAGCACTGTTCTCTTTAAAGGTGCGTTGTTTATGCGTGCCGTTTTGGTCTCGCCACGATCGTGGGTTACTGTAGATAACCTGGCGGGAAAATTGCCGGCATTGCGCCACCCGTTTATTTTTTCCATTTCGGAAGCTTTTCATTTTTGAAGTTTTGTCTTTTGTTTGCAAATTTTTTATTTCTGCTTTTTTTCAAATGAGAAATTGCCATAATTCGGAGGGTACAAAGATCTGGGGGGTACAAGCGGGTGCAAAACCTAAAACTTTAGGCTAGAAATTTTGAATGTTTTCATGTATTTTGTCCCCGAATTGCTTTTTACCCCAATGATCGCAAAATGTTTGTACACTCCGAAATATTTTCGGATAAATTCAGTTTTTGCCCTCTCAAGAATTCTCGGAACACTCGTTTTTTCCCACATTTGCCAATTTACTTGGAGAACTCCGTGCATGAACTAAATTTAGATAAAATATCGCTAATCATCAACTTGATTCAAAATATGCGTACTGAGAATACATCATTTTCAGCAATAACTAATAAGCGACTTATGAATAAGTAATAATGCCGCCCCATCCACCAGCACCGCCTATGCCTCCAATGCCACCGATGCCGCCAGTCACGGCTCCGCCGATGACTCCGATGGCACCAATCCCGACGAATCCACAGGAACTTCATCAGAAGAGTGGAAACGATGCATGCATCAAGCGTCTCGGTCAACTCAATGTAAAGTTAGCAAACGATTTTCTTTCTTATCAATCAGAATTTAGGTCGAAGCAGCCCCTAAAGTCTATCTGAAACCATCTGAGCCAGGAAAAGTGGGCAAGCCGGCTGACATTCAAACCAACATCTTCGGAATCGAAATCGAAAAGGAGACTACTGTTTTCCGCTACATGGTGCACGCTAAAGCCGAGCTCAGTCCAACGAAGGAGGCGGTTTTCACCAAAAAGGGCAAAGAAGACTTCGTGGTATTGGATCGACACGAGAAATGCTGTAACATCTTCTTCTACGCTGTCGAGAAAAATCCCGATTTCTTCAAGATGAAGGATGGCAATTGTATTATTTATGATGGACAGAGCACTCTTTATACAACTGTGAATCTGTTCTCTCAACTTGATGCCAAGGAAAAGAAATCTCGTATATTTGAAATCAATGGTGCTGAGATTGAGAATCAAGAGCTGAAATCTCTCCCTTGTATTTCTCTTGAGGTTTACTCTCCACGGGACAATGCCCTTGTAATCTCATCTGAGACCCTCGGAAAGAGAACTGCTGATCAAAACACTGAATCCAACAACCGAGAGTATACGCAATTCTTGGAGCTCGCGCTCAATCAACATTGTGTCAAACAAACGTAAGGATTTGTGATCGTTAGAGTAAATGGATTCTTTATGTTCATATTTCAGAGACCGCATTGGATGTTTTGAACACGGAAAGGTTTACTTCCTCAGAGCCACCGAGGAAGGTTTCGATGCGAGAGATTGTATCGACGTTGGTGATGGAAAAGTTCTTTATCCGGGCCTCAAGAAATCGATTCAATTCATTGAAGGACCTTATGGTCGTGGACAGAACAACCCATCTGTCGTCATCGATGGAATGAAGGCTGCGTTCCACAAGGAGCAGAATGTCTTGGAAAAGTTTTCTGAAATCGTTAATAGAGATGTCTCTCGAGGAATGTCTGATAATGATAGAGATAAAGCTTCTCAAGTCATTCGAGGCCTCGATTGCTATGCGAGCTACTCGAACAGAACTCGTCATCTGAGAATTGAAGGAATTCATCAGGATTGTGCTGCAAAAGCTAGATTTGAGTTGTCTGACGGAAAAAGCTGTACTGTGCAACAGTACTATCATGAAAAGTACAACATTGCTTTGAAGTTCCCTGGTGCAAATCTGCTTATTTGTAAGGAGAGAGGAAACAAAAACTTCTATCCTGCCGAATTGATGACGATCACCAAGAACCAACGCGTTACTATCCCACAGCAAACTGGTCAGCAGTCGCAAAAAACCACGAAGGAATGTGCAGTTCTTCCTGATGTTCGCCAGAGATTAATCGTGACTGGAAAAAAGGCTGTCAATATCACCGAAGAAAATGAACTTCTTCAGGCTCTGGGAATCAAAGTTTATCCAGAACCATTGATGGTATGCTCTAGATTTAACGAGTTTTATGATTTTTTTTATTTAGATCAAAGCTCGTGAACTTGAAGGAAAAGAAATTGTGTATGAAAAGAAGACTAGTTCCGACGCTGGAAAATGGAGACCACCACCAGGATGCTACAATAAGCCAGCTGTTTTCCCAGACTTGTGGGCCATCTACGCTGTCGGTACACAACACTCGAGATTCAGTGTTCAAGACCTGAAGTGAGAAAGAGATTTTAATACGAGACATATCGAAATCGATGTTTTTCAGCGCATTCTGCAGCATGTTCATGGATACTCTCCAGCGAAAAGGCATCACCGTCAAAACTCCGGCAGAAACTAGCCTTCTCCATGTAGATCAAGCCATGTCTAAGCTTGAGAACATTGCCATGAATAAGTGCAAATATGTATTCATCATCACTGATGATAACATTACCCATCTTCATCGTGAGTTTAATCAAACTAGACTGGCGGTATATAATATTTTCAGAGAAGTACAAAGCTCTCGAACAAAGAGACATGATGATCATTCAAGATATGAAGATGTCGAAGGCAACCTCAGTCTGCAAAGATGGAAAACGACTCACACTCGAGAACGTTATTAACAAGACCAACATCAAATTGGGCGGTCTCAACTATACTGTCTCGGATACCAAGAGAAGTATGACCGATGATCAACTCATCATCGGTGTGGGAATCTCTGCACCGCCACCAGGAACGAAGTTTTTGTTGGAGGGAAAGGGCCATCTGAACCCACAAATTGTTGGATTCGCTTCTAATGCTGTCTCCAATCACGAGTTCGTTGGTGACTTCGTTCTTGCTTCGGTTGGCCAAGATGTATGTTTCTTCTCTATATTTATCTGGTTTATTTCAAATATTTTATCGATACAATAAAATGTGGACCGAAAAACCATATTCAACAATTTCAGACCATGTCTTCGATTGAAGATGTCTTGAAGAACTCCATGGAGATGTATGAGAAAAACCGCAAACGTTTCCCTAAACGTATCATCATCTATCGTAGTGGAGCTTCGGAAGGCTCTCATCCTTCGATTCTTGCCTATGAGATTCCGCTTGCACGTGCAATCATTCACGGATATTGTAAGGATATCAAAATGATCTACATTGTCGTCACCAAGGAACACAGCTACCGCTTCTTCAAAGATCAGGTTTGTAAAGTGAAAAAAGATCAACACAATCAATTTCTTTCAGCTCCGCGGAACCAAGGCCACCGAAATGAATATTCCACCAGGAATCGTTTTGGATAATTCGGTCACTCACCCTGCCTGCAAGCAGTTCTTCTTGAACTCTCATACAACCTTGCAAGGTACCGCCAAAACTCCACTCTACTCGGTTCTTGCCGATGATTGCAATGCCCCGATGGACAGACTCGAGGAATTGACCTTCACTCTGTGCCATCATCTCAAATCGTTGCACTCTCCACCTCGGTCCCAACTCCGTTGTATGTGGCCAATGAGTACGCCAAAAGAGGGCGCGCACTTTGGGCTGAGAAGACGTAAGTTGTTGACTACAATAACTACAATAAAGTACGATTTTCAGTGATGGTGCTCCGATTGAAGCCGAAGGATCCGAATCGAACCGTCTCAAGGACTTGACCAAGGAGTTGTCATACCAGATGACCGACTTGCACATGAAGCGTGTCAACGCCTAAACGTCACTCCATCTTATATAATAACTCGATTAAACCAGTTTTTATCCTATGCTGTGGTCATCTGACCGTTTTACACATCCCCTGCTATGAGCACTATCCGTTATTGGCATGTTTTATCCTTATAGGGCATGTATTTTTGTAATAAAGTGCAGTAAAAATTAAGATTCTAGACACAATTTTTTATTTAAGCTTTTTTCGATGTGTTAGACTTCGTATGAAATATACAGAAAAGTGTTTGATGACCCCGTTCAAATCTAAAAAATGTAACCAGAGACGTGAGAATGGGAAGTGTTTTGTTGGGCAATATTGGTCGGTGCTCGGGGTTCACAACGTGCCAGCCGGTGATGAACAGATGAACAACAGAATTTTACAAGAGAGATGGGAGAAAATGGGAACTCTAGAGGAAATGCACCTGTGGACAAAATAGTTGAGGACAGTTTTAAAAATTGACAATACTTCTGTATTGGAGAAATGGAGGTTTTTGAGGCTTCTGAAAATCTATAAACACTAGCCAGGAAGAGGTACGGTATTTACATTTGGAAGAAAAAAGGATGAGGATGATGCCTATTAACAATTATGTATAAGCTTAGAAGTGGGAGAAACTATTTGCTTTTCCAAAAAATAATGAAGAAAACCAAATCATTTAGATTCTTCATGAAATTCAGATTACTGGAATCCACGTCGCTGCGTCTGGAGGCAGATAAAAAAGGGTTGTCCGGGGAGGGGTCGATGAGCCAGATGAGAAGTTTGGTGGGCTGTAGCATTGCATTGAGAGCTGAAATTATAGTATGAGATAATACCATTAGAATTCAAACAATTACCTGGAAAGCTACTCTGTCAATCATGTTCAGTGTCATATGTCGTTCATGAGCCATCAAGCAAACAGTGCTTTCATCGATAACTCGATACAAAAGCATCAAGAAATCGTATTTAGCTTGACCAGTGACGAGGAGAGATGAAGACGTTGCTTGAGAAGTGGATGCTTCAGATTCGGTATCTGATCCAGAAGAAGACCATTGATCGTATGTAACACCGTTGAATGATGTTCCAAAGTGAGAATCCAAATAATTGCGAAGTTTGTTCTCTTGAGAGTTCAAGTCTGGGAAATCGATGAAGAAACGGGAGCACATGTATCTGAAATTAAACAATGAGAGATTTCAAAAATACCTAAAAAATGAATACCTCTCCAACTTGCGGCAATTCCATGGTTTGGCAGCTTTGTATCCTCTGATGATCAGATGACAATACTTCAAAAGACCACCTCCACGGATTTCTTCCGGTTTAACAGTATCAATTAATCTTTCGTGAAGATGATTAATCGCTTGATGAATATCTCCATACATGCTCTCAATTGTCACCTTTTTCTGTTCACAACTCTCAAAATCGTCGAGAAGTGGGTCAAGATGGATTTGGAATGAATCGACAGAGAACTCGAATTGTCTTTTCATCTTGTTCACAAACTTTAATTCAATGCACCGTCCGTATTCGTTGTTCAGAGAGAACAACGACCAGACGTCGTTGTCGGATGCAACCTAAGAATAAATTTTATTAGTTGAACATATTGAAGAATACAACAAACCTTGATCATCTTCCTAATGTAAACATCCTTGAGAGTTTCAAAATCGAATTTTTCCTTTCCAATGTTATCCGGCATCAGCTCACGAATCGTTGTGAATACGGCCTCACGAATCGATTCGAAAATCGTCTTTTCAGCGTTCTCACCACTTTCATCGTCGATTTGAATTGGGAAAATCAGGTCGAGATCAGCATAGGTGAAGTCATCGGATGAGGCAACAAATGATGCAGCACCGCCATTCAATCGAATATCACGGGCGCGGACTTGAGCAGCTCTGAAATATTATAATTCATAAAATCAATTTTAGTTCATTGTTTCCATAATGCTTGTATAAAAATCGGGGCTTTGGAAGAGAGAAATCTTGTGGGCGTGGCCAACGATCCCCGTAACGAAAATCACCGTAACCTAAAATTTCGGCCTCCAAACAAGTCATAAAATAAAGTTTTTCTAAATCAAAAGAACCAATAGTTGAAACCTTTTGTAGAAACGATAAAACCTTTTTAGCTGTGAAACAACTTTTTTAAGCAACGAATAAACTTTTTTAAGTATCAAAAAAACTTTTCTAAGCCCTTCTCTAACTTTTTCAAGCAACGAATAAACCTTTTTAAGCGACAGTAAAACTATTAGCACTTTCAAACTTTTTCGAGCAATGTATAAACTTTTATAAGCAACAACGAAACTATTCTAAGCCCCTTATAAACTTTTTCAGCCGTGGCTAATCGGGCACCTTTTTTAGTTTAATCGTGGCTTGTTTATGGCTCAGAAAGGTTTTCCAAACTATCTGAGCGGAAAACGGACGAAATTGAGAAAAATATGAAAGTAATAAATATCTGCTAGTTACGGTAGTTCCGCGGCCACCAGATTTTCTCTTCCTCATAGTCAGCTCCCATTATGATTTTTTACCTTTCAATTAGCTCCGATTTTAGCCCAAAAGAAAACGTCTCACTCACCCCAAATGTGTCCGAACACACCGAATCAAATCAATGAGTTTTGTCGAAATCGTCGGGAAATTTCCTCTTCCATGAATCTCAACACGTTCGTCTAGAACAGCTCGAAGTCGTTTCATCTGAAATATATTTTTTTTTGTTTACATATTGCATGTTCAGCCTCATTAAAAGTTTTCTTTTCTAGTTCCCTTCTGCCCCCTTCTTTCCATTTTATTCGTATTCTTATTCTGTGTTTTTTTCGGAAAGAGAGAGAATCAGAGAAACATTCCAATCTACGTCATCATAGTCAGCTTCTGATGCGCTTGTGATGTTAAAAAAAGGACTTGTTTTTGGGCGCAGGGGGTGGCATCCGAATGTGTAAGGTTTTCAGTGACATATTATGAGAGAGGGAGAGACACAGAGAAATTAGGAAAATAGGGGAAACTGTTTGATCAGGTGTTCTAAAAAAGTTTGTCTTTTTCATAGAAGGTGTGGTTTAACCTTTGGTTCCGCATCTTTTGGAATAAATTTTACAACATATTCATCTGATTTTTCTTCAGAATCTTCACCGATACTCTCTCTCCAGTCATCAATCAAAGTTGTAAAGACACTCCGTTCTTCTTCTATTTTTAACATTATTTCTTATTTGGAACTAGTTTTTTAAAATCCTAAGTTTTGAGAAGTTTCTCAGAAAAACATACCTGTCCTTTGGCCAAAAGCATCGTCCTGGATACAATCTTTTCAACAACTGCCGTTTCTTGGATTGAGTTCTGATTGTTATTTTGTGCCGCGTGATTCTGATGACTTTGATGATTCTGGTGGTTTTGGTAGTGTTGGTTCTGCTGAGTGTGTTGATTTCCTTGATATCCGTTTCCGTTTCGCATTCTGTTTGATCCGTGTGGAGTCAGCTGAAATACAGAAAAATTTAGAAAAGGAGCAAAAAAATGTGAAGAAAAATCTAGAAAAAAAGAAAGCGTTGTTGATTTTCGACCACTGGAACTGATAAATTCTCTCTTTTTTGCTCTTTTTGTGTGATAAGGAAAAAGTGCTGAAGTGCTGAAACAGAAAGAAACGAAAAAATTCGAAAATGGAGAAGAAATTTCACAATTTTGTATTGAGTCTAATTCAACAGCACTCAACTCGTTAAGCTTTAATTGAATTGCGCTCTAAATGAACTCAAAAATGTGTTCGATGACCCAAGAAATGCCAAAGAATGTTATATGCCAACAACTCTAACTTCTCCGAAAATCAAACAAAAGGGATTGCTCACAAAGACAACTTGGTACCGTTTTTTGACACTTTGAAAATTTCCGAACTAGTGGATCAGAGATTGATTTGCTATGAGGGAAATGAGACGGCAAACCTTCAGAAATCATTTGAAAATCTTTCAAATTTATAGTAATAGAAGGGCTTCCTAACTTTCAAATTTGAGCCAATTTATCTCGGTTTCTGTGAAAGATATAAAAAATGTTCAACTGATAAATAGTTTACCATAACATCAAAAAAATGTTGCCAGTTGACACATTTTTGATAGTTGGCACAGGAACCGAGATAAGAGCTTAAACTTGAAACAGTGAGGAACGGAGAGCCGAAGGCGAACCAGCCAGCTGTTTGAAGAGCCGAAGGCGCGTCAAACAGGCTATATAAGGTATGGGAATGTGAACTTACAGTCTTATACATGTTTCCATGTTGATCATAATTGATCACAGTGCGAGAACGTCTTCCACGCATTCTTAAGATTCTTAGTCTGATTCTTATTCAGTGAATAGTTAGAGACAAAGTAGTATGATGTTCTTCTCAAATGTACATAAAAAGAGAGAGAGAGAGATGTGCGTTTCTCTCTCTTTTCGAAACTCCGCCCGCTACGTCCCAAGCCCCGCCCCTTTTCGCGCACGCTGACGACGTCATTTTGTTTTGGCGTCGACCGCAAGGGGGTTCCTCTCAATGGCCAGGAGAGAGAGTCGCCCTCGCAAAAAAGGAGAAAATTAGAGAGTATGGAGATTGAAGAGAGCGTTTGAAACCGGCTCCCCGAGTCCTTGCTTTCGCGTGGCTATTTTTTGCGAGAAAGCACCACGAGAGCCAATAGAGAGTAGAACCCCTTTTTTGATGATGATGTCATTTCTGAAGACGTCGACAACGTCATTTGGAACTGAGGAATAGAAAAAGAAAAAATGAAATAAGAGAGGTGTAGGAGGAGAGAAAAAACCGAGTAATTTTCATTTATTCCGGCATATACACCCTTTCAACTTTGTACCATTAGAATTTCTAATGACGTATGTTTTCTTTCTTTTTGGGTCGTTCTCTTTTTTTTTTTTAGATTATTGTTTTCAAGAAGTCTGGAATTCTATTGGGTTACTGTAGGTTGACCCATATTGCGCATCTCTCACTGACGTTATGCAATATGATCTAATTCTAAACATAAGATCTCAAATGACGTCGAGTCTAATTAATGCTTTTGCTAAAAAAAAACGTAATACTAGTTTTTGGCACAGCCTGAGTGTGACTCATGATGAGCTACTAGCTTTTTGCCGGTGTTACTCAAAGAGCAAGTCTCATTTACAAACAATACAAGGTTGACCGAATGGGTTGGAGATCACGAAAAGATCAGATTGGGGGAGGGTTGTTTAGGGAATTGGTATACTAATAATATTATTGGAACAAATGAAAGAAGGAGACTAACTGACCACACCAAAAATCTTCAATTACCTGTTGCCTTCTATCCTTTCGCATGGTCCCAAAAGCGCTTCAGAATTGGTTTCGAATAATTTCCGAATTTCAATTTGAAAATTTGCAAAAGTTATTCTCAACTCCCAAATTCTCTTTTATATCCTCTGTTGCAACTTTTCTGGAACCTTCTCGAAGCTACCCGTTTCTCTCTTGTTTGCTTGTTTACTCTGCGTCTCTTCTTCTCATACACTCTCTATTCACTCTCCGCCGGGCAAGACAACAAGAAGAGGAGGACAAGAGGAGAAGAAGAAGGAAAGTTCCAGAAGCATCGAGAAAATACCCATTTTTGATCTTTTGGAATAGTATGTTTCAGTGTCTCTCAAGTTCTCTAATTTATTTTATCTGTCACCAAAATCTCCTTTCTAAACTCTTTCAATTTTCTTTTGATTTTTAAAAGGTCATTTGGAATTTGAGAAGAATGTGAAAACAGGAAGATCACACATTTTTTTGTCCTCTAATTTCGGAGTGCATCGAAATCGAAACTTAAATGAGAGTAAAGGAGACAGTGTCATGAGTTTCGGTACTTATTTTTAGAGTTTGGGAATGTATTCTTCTTGAGAAAAGTTCGAAATACTGAAAACAAGTTCGTTGCGGAGAAGAAGAAGTGAAGGTTCAAATGATCTGTATCTAGGAAAGGAACTGGAAGTCAACCTAATTTGAAGGATTCAATGTTCTCGGATTCAGACGAAACCTTCTTGATGCGGTTGTTCTTGAGCTCAGTTAGCTTGATTTCTATGCAGGATGTTAAAGGAGGCGAGACCATACTTGTAATCCGGGCCATTGCCGGGCCTTCGCGGGCCCTGCCATAATTTCTTTCAGAATCTATATTTTCGAACCAACTAAATTAGATATGTAAGAGCTCCACGAGTACTACAAAACGGTATTATTTGGAATACTGTATCTTATCTATGAACAAAGTCACAGGTCATAAAGTGGCTTTTCTCGCACGGCCCGGCAGGCCCGGGGCGGGACTGTTTTTTTTTTGCTCCTTTTTCTCTGTAACTTTGTTCATAGATAAGATACAGTATTTCAAATAATACCGTTTTGTAGTACTCGTGGAGCTCTATCATACCTGATTGAGTTGGTTCGAAAACATTGATTCTGAAAGAAGTTATGGCAGGGCCCGCGAAGGCCCGGCAAAGGCCCGGATTACAAGTATGAGTCAACTGAATTTTTTTTCATTATCTGATAAGCAATTTATCAGGTCACTAATTTTTTTATATCTTTGACAGGAACCGAGAAAAATTAGGTCAAAGTTAAAAGTTAGAAGGCCCTTCTATTACAGGTTTTATGGTATTTCAGAATGATCATCTATTCTTTTTTCAGAAGAAGAAAAATATTCGAATATTCGTAAAGAGGCTAATCAAAGTTTTTCTCTCAATCTTGTATATCTATAGTGGCACAATCTCATCTCTTCTTTTGCAATTAGATTTCTCCGATTTCTTATATCCACTAGACATTTTTTTGTTCAAGAAGAAGTGAATCTATACAATTTTATTCATCTGAAAAGATTTCTTCTTTACTAATTAGACATCTCACTATTTATTGTTTTTCTATTTATTAGTCTAGATTTCTATATTTTCTGTGGTATACATTAGGAGGGCACTCAACCGGCAGAATTTCTAGAATATATTAATACAGTTCTATTTTCAGATTCAGTTTTAAAATAGAAGAAAAGCCCCCGACGTCATCTTTAGGTTAGAAAACACTAAAAGTTTGAAGTCTATTAAAAAGTGGATGAAAAGGAAACCAATTGAGAGACTCAATCGTAATGGGGGTTGAAAAAAAAGGCAATTCAGACGTCAGAATTCCTTCAATTTCTGTTTCCTCATTCGTTTCTCAGAGCTCAAGATTTTGGGTGGGTGGATGGGGGAGAAGAAGTTTTTTTTGGGAAGAAGTAGGGTTAATAATTCAGAAGAACATTCTGCAGGAACAACTAGTCTCAAAGAACTGGGAATCACTAATGCTTTGACAATCCAGGAAGTTCCTATTTTTAATTTTGTTGCTTGTTTCTTTTTCGTTTTTTTTTTGAAAAAACTTCCAACTTCAAACATCAAAGCATGATGCCTAGGATTCGGAGTGTGTACAGCCTGTATTTGATCAGATTTTCGCAAATATCCACCGATTAACGACAACACATTTAAAGCGAGAAACAGTGTGAATTTATGAGAGAGCACTAGAGAAACCTCAAAAAGTTTGTGGAATTCCATTGAAAAAGCTCTCATGGACAAAATATGAAAAAAAACGAGATGTGGAAAAGTGCGAAAACCGGGGGGAAGTGATGGTGAATGGTACCGAGTATTTGGGCAGAGTGGTGTGCCCATGTTTGACACCTGCTAGAGCAATTAAAATGAAATGGATCCAGGGTAATGAAAACAGGAAAAGTGCATGCCTATAAAATTTTTAATTTTATAGTTAGGAGAAATACGGGATTACTGTAGTCACGTGGTATTATGATGTTATGCTAAAATTGGAACTGTGGAATAAAAAAGCTGGCGGCCGTGGCCGAAGGTATCCCAGCGGTAACTACCGTAACCTGAAAATGTTTTTTATTTAAAACAATATTGTTAGGATATGGTAGATTTCGTTCCGGGACCTTCGGCCGGTGTTTCTCTTCCACAGCTTCCATTTTTTGCACCAGCATAATAGTCCAGAATATTAGGATACTAACGGATACAGTTTCTAATACAACAACATCACACAAAAGGAAAAAACAAACTGACTGAAATTGTTAAAACTGAAAACGGAAAGGTTTCGATTGCGTGCCGCTTTTGAATTGGTTTTAATCCGATTGCGGAACGAATGAAACTTGAAACAAAAAAAAGCGAATTTCGATGAGTCGACACGATGTACCTAATCGAAAAAAAAGTTGAAAATACAAACAAAAAGAAGAGAAACAAAAGTTATTTCACTGAAATTGAGATATGAAACAACTTGTTTTATACTAAACAGTCTCAGTTTGAATACGGAATATTCGGAATATTCACAGACTGAAAAACACCGATTTTTGATTTTCAGACTGGATTTGTGTTTCCGAGTTTTTCGGTCAAGTTTTGTGTTATCCACAGGGTCATGGCTTATGCAAAATTTGAAAATTTTGGAATATCAGAATGATCAAGTACTCCAAATCTAGACGTTGTTGTTGATTTTACCTAAAAAACTGCTTTCGGACGTTTCGAACTCTATAAATCAGAAATCAGAGGTATAGTACGAACGACTTCGTTATCGGATACCATACAGAGTATACTCTATTACCTCTAATAGAACCCCTCCAAACCGTCAGATTTGAGCTCAATTATCTCGATTTCTGTGAAAGATATCAAAAAGTTTTCAACTGACAAATTATTAATCATGATATCACCAATATTTTATCAGTTGACAAAATTTTGGTATCTTTCATAGGATTCGAGATAGTTAAGCTGAAAGTCGTCTACGTCAATGGTGACACAATTGGGTCAGCTTAAGCCTTGTCTAATTATGGCAAAGCTGAACATTAGAATGAGTTTTACTACAGTAAACCTCATTACTTTGCAAATCAATATACAGTTGTGGATGGACCTTTCAAAAATGAAAGTTCCAAAAATTAGATTGTGAAAAGAGATGACGTCTTCTCGACTACAGTAGTTCATCCGTTTTTATTATTCTCTTCTTTTCCAGTATATTTTTATTTTCTTTCGTTGTTCCCCTGACTTTTGCCTCTTCTGACAATAAATGTTATGTCAATCATCCCCTCCTGCACACACACACATCATTTTTCAATTTGTTGGTCTTCTTTCTTTTTGTTCCTGTCTCTATGATGTCATCTGGAGCATTCCCATTCATCAGAAAGCTTTTAAATATATCCAATGCAATCCCAAAAAACAGAAGCATTGAAGTTTAATATCACCTAAAAAATATCCATTTTAAGATATTTATCGCATTACCTAAACAAAAAGATGATTTTTGATGCCTCCGAATCATACTAAACTTCCGGTGCAAAAAAAAAGGAAAGACGACGATAAACT